TCATGTACAAATGTCTCCAAACATAAAAAACTAAAATGTCTCACAATGAAACTAATCCAGCTACGTAACTTTTCTCAGTGAAGGGATTATTACCTCATAGAAATTACATCTTCCAGGTCGGTGCAAAAGGCCATGCAGTCTTGCCCTAGTCCAATGGTATACTTCCCTTTACTCGCCCCATCATAATCCTCGAGCGCTTCCTGCAGTGAGCACCATGTATATAAGAAATTTACATCAGAAAATTAGGATGCTCAAACAATAAAATAAACATGAAAAATCAAACAGCAAGAGTAACATAGCACAAGCTTGACTCTCTAATTTATTTCGTTTATTTCTGCAAGTTCACAGGATCAGAAAATCATATACCCGAGCAAGTATTAAATGAAGGCATCTTAACACTTCAATATAATCCCAAAAATAAGGTTGATTAACGAAAAATCAACCTGATTTTGCCAAGAATTTGCGTCTTGGACCTCACCCTCAATCTAAGAATTCTCTTTGATTAATCATACACACAATAAATGAACCCAAAAAAAAAAGTTCAAACGAAAGAAGACTACAACCCAAAGTTCAAGAATCCAGAAGTGACGAAGCAACACAGACGTAAAGAGACGTCAGCCCACGACGACTTACTTGTTGGACGCAAGTGGGGGGAAAGTAGATATCCATTGCCAGAATCCCAACATCCATTCTCCCCGGTTCCATCGCCCGCCTCCCGAAGTCGACCAAGCTCAAGCCAACAGATGAGCAGAATCTCTCTCTCTCTCTCTCTCTCGGGGCGACAAGAACGTCTTTGGGATCAGAACCGAAGCACCCACAGAAACTGATGCCGTTCTTGCAAAGGAGATACGCTCTCTCTCTCTCTCTTCCTCCCTCTCTATCTAAACTCAGCCTTCTCGAGGACATTTTAAAGCCCTCACCGGCGTCATCCTCGACCTAATCACACCGCCCTTTTGGCTGCCCTTCAAAGTTCCCACGCTTACCTGCCGCGTACCCTCGTGGGAAACGGAAACCAGTTGTCACGTCGGTCCCACCGGTGAGTCGAGCTGGTAGTTACACGTCAATCAGCGTGATGCCGACTGAGCAATAAGCCGCACGTTTAATCCCTGGTCGTGCAATTTCGAAAGTGATTTGGACAAGAAGTTGGGATCCAACGGGCACCATCACACGAGTCGTGCCTACCTTTTCGCAGACCGGGCCAACCGCTTGTGATCGTTAGACCGCTCCACATGAGATTTAAATGGGATCAACAGCTGGCGGGATCTTCAAATCTCACCCGGTGCATTTGAAAATATATTTATATTTTTAACACGTACGTCAAGAAAACAAATTTAAGTGAAAACATAATAATAAAATGTTATGAGTATTTGATAAATAATAGATTAAAAAAATATTTAAAATGTACATTGATATAGATATTGTTTAGTAAAATTATATTTTAAATTTTTATTAAATTATATCTGATAAATTTATTTTTATAATGTTTTTATAATTTTATTTTAAAAATTATATATATAAATGAATCTATATAATCTTACGAAAAATGTCGGTCCAGAAATATAATAATATAAATAAATATTAAATAACTTTAAAAAAATAAATAAATAAAATCATATTTATAAAAGATATAAATTATGTCGATTTCTCATCAAATCATATCGATAATCTTGTGATTTTAAAGTATATCATATGGTTCTTTAAATTTTTTAAAATTATATTAATAAATTATAAATGCTAAAATTCTAATAAGGAAGCATCAGCGTTTAAGTATTTTATAATATAATATCTGAATCAATAATCAATGTTAACAAAGCATAAAACAATAATAAAAAAAAAAGCATATGAAACCCGAAACCATTTGGATTCATGTGCCATACTTTCCATCATCTAACCGTCCATCCCAACAAGCATATAAAACCCGAAACTAAATGAAAGTGGCTGTCCATCTGAACCATAAGATTGCGGAGAGAGAACACATCCACCTCCTTTCTAAACATTTCAGTCAAAATTCAATTCCATCTGAACCGTTCAGTCAAAATTCAGATCAATCAAAAGCAAATCGGCAACCCTCACTACACTACCATTTAGTACATGTGGAATCCGACGAGCTTCCAAAGCTTCTTTCTTCTTCCTTCTTTTGCCTTTAATCTGCACGTCGCTCCCGCAATTCTCTTACATGTACAAAATTCATCCAACATCGAAGGCCAAAAAAATATTCCTATCATATTTCTTCTCTAAATCAATCTTAATTCTACTAAGAATCAATCTAAATATCCTAAAACTCCATAATATTGAAATGTAGCCGCAACCATCACCACGTTCACCACCGCCGTCGGATGCCAAAGTAACGGCTTCATCCCCTGAAATCAAATTAGCACTAACCAATTATACAAACAATTTCCAGGAATTATGAATTATTTTTTCCCCATAAAAAAAAAATTGGTTTGTACCGTTGCGGATGAGATGGTGTAGTAACCGGTGGAGGACGTGTCCGTCGCAGGCGACGGCGACTGCGCCGTGTTGCCACCGGAGGAGGAGGAGACGGTTGCAGATGAGTTCGCCGCCAGGAAATCGTAGGCGGGCGTGCCGTCGGGCTTGAAGAGACCGTAGTGCCGCTCGGACGACGGCCCGGGCTTGAGGTTCTCGTTGAAGAGCGCGAAGACGTAGACCTGGAGAGGTACCCCGGGCGACGACGGCGTCCCCTTCCTAGCCGCCACCATCCGCATGAGGTTCCCGTTGTACCGCCTCGCATTCTCCGCCGTTGCCCCGGCCTCGTCGTCGTCTCCCGCCGACGGCCAGCCAGTCTCCGAGACCACCACTTCCACCTCCTTCCCTCCCCCCGCCGCCACGATCGCCGCCCGTACAGCGTCCACCTGCGCGTGGAGCATGTTACTGTACCGAAGCCCGGAGCCGGGGTCCACGACCCCGGCGTTGGGCTCGAAGAGCGCGTAGTCGAGGTCGACCCGCTTCGGGTCCGCCTTGTAGGCGAAGTAGGGGTAGGCGTTGATCAGGAAGGGCGAGCAGGTCTTGGCGAGGAAGGCCAGCAGCGGGGCCACGTACGGGAGAAGCTCGCGTCGGAACGCGGAGGCGGAGGGTGGGTAGGAGACGGCGAGGACGGCGAGGGAGTGGGCGGTGGTGACGGTCACCTGGTGGTCCAGGCCGAGGGCGACGAGGGCGGAGTGGAGGGACTGCATTGCCGGGAGAAGGGATCGGATCAGGACAGAGTCGTTGCCGGAGAGCACCTCGTTGCCGACGGTGACGGCGGCGATCCTGGTGGCGGGCAGGTAGGGCTGGAGGTTGGTTTTCACCCAAGCGAGGGCGGCGGAGGGGGCGATGAGGCGCGGTACGCACCGGTCGGGAAGGCCGATGATGATCTCCACGCCGGTGCCGGCGAAGGCGCGGAGGACGGCGGGGTCGGCGTCGTAAAGCTTGACGCGGGTGGCTCCCAAGGAGAGGAGGAGGGGGATGACATCCGGCGGCGACGGGAGGTTATCGGCGACCTGGCCGTAATTCACGCCGAATGACGACGGCGGCGACGCGGAGGCGTTCGAATGCGCTGCCGAGGAGAATGTAAAGATCGGCACCAGGACGAGGAGGAGAAGCAGCAGGGAGAGGACCGCCATTACCACTGGATCACGAGGGGAAGCAGTGAGATCAGACGGCGTGAGACGATCGCGGCGGCCTCATATCACGGAGAAGAAAGCGGAACGCAATGAGCTCTCTCTCGGGCGGGAGAAACGACCGAGAGAGTTGCTTTAACTCCGCAGCTTTCCCCTACGGTTGCGAATCTGTTCGTCTCCACGCGTAGCAGTAGGATTCGAAGACCATCACGACACAGTCTGCTACGGGTACATCGTGGCCGTTGGAACGGCGAACAGCAAGCAAAGTGAGTGTTGGACGGTCACAACGGAAACTAAGTGTGGTCATGTGGCACAATTGTAGAGGTTTTGCATGTGCTTTCTGCGGCCTAATTTTTGTATTCAAAGGGCATATAGGTATAAAGGAAACCTTAGTCTCCTTTGTCTCGCAGGTGGCCCATGTACAAGCTGTAACGAAGGGGAAAAGTATCTTCTTTCCAGTCTCACCTTCAGCTGTTTTCTGCACCTTTCACGGGTATCGAGAGACGGCAGTTTTTGATACAAAATTAGATAGATGCTGCAAGAGAAGAGAAGGGAAAGCATCAGAGAGGTAGCCTTTTCTTTTTCTTTTTGGATAGGAGGGGGAGGGACTTTGGTTGAAGAGATGCTTGCGTATGGTTCAAGGAACGTTATGTTGCTAGATTTTACCACGGTAGGCAAGCCAGCCTCGTGGACATCGGATGAGGATTCATTTCATGGTTTTGAGGATTTATTAGTGAAAAGGCTTCATTTAGCTAAAAAAAAATTATATTTTGGACCCGTACAATCAAATAAATGGGACGAATTTTCAAACAAATTCTTTTATTTTTTCCGGAGATTATCTCCATTTTCAGATTTTCCAAGCATCATCTCTTTTCTTTTCCGTAATACCTAACACCCATGACTTGAGTAAGTCAAGTATCTCTTTTCCTATGGATAAACCCATAGGAGAAACTAATCCAGTTATAATAGTTTTACACTTACAATACCCAAAACAGCTATAATGCAGCGCAACAATACTGTAACAACATTGAATCTTGTAAAAACACTAAACATAATGTTTTTACTTTACGCTACAATGTTTTCAACAATATCAGGAAAACATTATAGTGCAATACAAAAACACTATAACACTATAATTTGTCTTGCATTCCATAGAAAAAGAAAGAAAAATGAAATATATATATATATATAGGTAACTGGGGTTATTCCAAGTATTAAGGCAAAAGAAAAAGACAACAGTAGGGAATTATACTTCCTGAAAGAAGCCCAAAAAGAAAGACTGTTGCAAGTATAGTGTATCATTTGAGTCATACCATCCCACTCTTTAACTTGTAATAGTCTAAGCATATGCATGAGACGGTGTAATTATTCATAGGTAATATAGCATAAGTACTGCATGCAAGACCAGTGAGAATAAGTGAAATACAAATATTATGGTAATTCCATTTGGAAAACGATTTCAACTCTTATATGTAGCATCTCCAATTGTTTAATAGACAAACACAGCAGAAACAGAATAATTTAGTAAAACGTATGTAGATAGCCATTTTTGTTCAACTGTTATATGCGACATGAGGTGCTTTAAAATGTTTGCACAAACGTGAGAATTGCAGTGTCAAACTAGAAGAAATAATGGATGAAATTTGGGAATTTGCCAAACTACTCCAAAAGCTAAATTTGGAAAGGAATTATTTCTCTACCTGGCCAGGTTTCGATTTTTTTGAAGTATCTGACTGGCACAACACCATCGAAGCCTTCAGTTAAGATCACTTTGTTATCAGATATGAAGAGCTTCATTCCTTCTGTGAATCGGTCATATATTAAAGATTATAATTGATGATATCAAATAATTGATTTTTTTTTGGTCAAACACTTACAAACAGAATAATATCATACCTTGTAGTGCCTTTTCAATGTCCAAATAAATTAGGAGATTAACATCTCGCCTCATACCTTAGGCAAAAAGTTTATAGAAAACACTATGAGCAGATGGAGATCATTTGACGAAAAAAAGAGTAGAAAAGGTCTGACTTGATGGGATCTCTTTTTGAATATCTAAAAAAGCTTCCAAAAGTGGTCTATGTGGTAGAAATGCAATTAATCTCGGTGGGCATCAGTTATTGTATATTTGCTCAGGATATCCACTAGAAGGATTGTTATCTTCAACACACAAAAGATCAAGCTCGAGAGTGGTGATACCACATAATTAACCTAACTAAAAACTTTAACAAAGAAAGAAACAAATCCCAATTAATTGATGTAGTAAAGAGGAGCACTGACTTCAATAAAGTAGATTTCATATAAATTCACTGCATATTCCATATAGCCTGAATTTATATTCATGTGTAATATGGTCAATTACTGAGAAAGTATTTTTCTCGGTGATCTATCAGTTGGAACCAACAAAGTTTCCACCAGAATCATCACCCAAAGCACACTGAGGGGCTCCGTTACCGGATCATGGTTTGCTACTGACTAATAACATTTTCTTCTTATTTTTTCAGTGATACCAAGCAATGGTTAGTACACTGCCTGGTATACTAGTACTATGTTGGTCTAACAAACTGTCCAAATCAGTATCGGATGAGACTTTAAACTCTGCCAAACATATTTATATAGAAAAAAAAGGAAATTACCATAGACAGTGTAGATCAAGCAACAAAAAGGTTTGATATGTGAACATACCACTAATAACTTCTCCATCTGTGGGCAAACCACTTGAGAAGTGTACATGTAACCTTGTCATTCGCTTAAGCCCAGATTGCAAAATTGATTCCAAGTTTCTCCTATAAGTTCCATGAACACAAACTGCAAAGTAAATTAATTAGATCCTAATTTCGAAATTTTAAGATCCACAAAAATAGAAACTAATTGAGCCATTGTTTATCTCATCCTCACCTGGAACTTCATCAGCTGACAGTATCGGTTTTAATAGACTCTCTGAGTTTATGGTCTGAAAAGGAATAAAGAAGATAACTAATTTGCATAAAGAACAAGAATCCTACGTATGTAATTTAGCGAATAGCACCAAATGATACCATTTATAATAAATAAATAAGCAAAATTAGCCTTACGTTAAGTTCTACATTGTCTTTTTGTAAATAATAGTTGAAACGCTAGTAGAGCTAAATAACAGCAATGGCACCATAATATTAACTAGATACATAAGATAATCAAGTAGTAGAGCTAGTTGAATACTTAATTCAAGATGCAATAACAGAAAAGCAGTGGCACCATGACATTAAATAAAATGTTTAACTGGAATATCTCTTCATCAAAAATCTTGGTGACATAATTTGAACCTTACATACCAAGATGGGAATCATCTGAATCTTAGCTCGAGTGACAATCATGTATCATGTAGATATAACCAATTACGTACATGTCGGTATGTTCGAATCAAGATTCCTAATTTTGCCTGGATATGCACGTACTGGTTGGTATGTACCAGTGTGACTGTGTGAGGATGAATCAAGGCGCGAACCATCCCTTTTTCGGGTGTCCTAGAGGGCGAGCCTCGGCATACATTGAGGTTACTCCTTTGCAATTTAGCTATCAAGGGCTCGAAACAGGAAAACAATTCTTTGCTCACAAGATTCAAATCCTATGTCAATTTAAATTTTTATACAACACTGGTAAGTTTTCAATGTATACAAAGTAACTGCAAACGGAATCAATTGTTTAATAAGTTTTCAATTTAAGTAACCAAAAAGGGAATCTACTATTTAAGATGAAATTCACACTTTTCTATTGTTTTCTGTCTGGATTATTATTTCTCTTCATTCTAGCTTCACATTCCTTCCATTATACAAATGTTAAGTTCTTACTAGATGAAGACAGACACACATACAAGAAGACTTTCTGCATCATTCCTCTCAACAATCAATAATACAATGAAAAGGTAATTAAAAGAAAACACTAGATGTTCCAAGCTGATGAAGCTAACTTTCTATCATAGTTTATAAACTTCAAGGAAACTGCAGTTTAATAAGATATGTATTAAATGGAAGAGAATGCTGGAGTAGAATGCAAATCACCACTATGGTATGCCCTTGGTTTGCACGGATTAAGAGCTCCCCATCTTCCTCCAATAGACTAAAGCGTTGTTTATTATCCCTCTTAACTGCCTGTTAGTGAATGAGACAAATATGACATTCATTAGGAATGAACAGATAAGATTGAAGAAAGGCCTCACAAAATTAAAGTTGAATGCATAATTGAAAGCATGGAGAAGAGTATAGCCCAAAAATACTAGAATATCACCATCAAATAAAGTGGCCTTTTCATTCAAATTGCTCCATGATTAGTAAAATTTTGACCAAACTAGAACTCTATGAGGTTATGGCTGCGGTGGAACCATTTAAGAACTAATATTGGTTGGTATTTTGTTTCTTTTTTTAATTTTCAATGACAATAGGACTTGGAAAACTGGTTTATTCAAGAAATAGTGTTTGACATTGACATTTGTCAGCTCTGGGCATCAAAATAAATAAATAATCAAAACACCATTTTCTCTTTTGGGTTGCTGGACAAATTACCGTTCTCTATATTTCTCCTTACTTTCTGCCTATCATTCTCTCATTTTTTCTTTGCCTAAGCACCAATATTTTTGTATTAAATTGACCTAAATTCTTCTTTTGCTGGATCTATTTTCAATGATCAAAATCTATGGCAGTTCAATAACTTTGAAGTTACAGACATGGAGAATTCCAAGGACAAAGACCTGTGAAGCTTATGATAGAATGAACTTGCTATGCACCTATATTGTGTTTTATTTGACTCATTAACTTTTATTCCAACAAATAAAGAAAATTTTCTTCCTGATAATTCACTTTGGTTCAATGGCAAGCACTCTACTGCCTAATTTGTCATCATCATATCCTTGCACCTTATAATGATGATGGGAAGAGCTTGTTTAGAAAATATAAGGCAAAATGTGTTTTCTACAATTAATAAGGAAAATGATTAATTTGTTTCACAAGAATTATGTAATATCTCAAAATGTTTTTCTTTTATTCAGGATTTCAGACAAAAAAAAAGAACTACCCATGAAATCAGAAGTACCTTGGAGATTAATAAATGCAGCCAATGCTGGCTCACTTTTAGAAAATATAAAGCAGATAAATATATACATTGGGGAAACCATTATATTTAAGCATGATAAGCATACATACATATTCATGAGACATGCAACCACAGGAATTAAGTTAATGCTATTAAGGTACAAGATTTGAACTTTATATAAGACATTTACCGTCACTAACTGAAACCTAAAGATCCATGTGGACCACAGAGATTTTGCACAAGTATACCAAGATCTAAAAAATGCAAAATTCAGCTATGAGATAGTTCTTGAGCATATATAAGTAACAAGGACCAAAATGATTATCAGGAAGAAGGCACTACGGAAATCACCTCCACTACGACATAAGCTCAGCTTTGTGCGATATATGTATAACAAGGACAGAAATTATTATCAGGAAGAAGGAGCTACAGAATTCACCTCGGCTACGACATAAGTTCAGCTTTGAGCAATATATAAGCAACAAGGAATAAAATGAATATCAGGAAGAAAGCACCACAGAACTCACCTCCATTATGAAACAAATACAGCTTTTAGGAATACATATGTAACAATGACTAAAATGACTATCGGGAAGAAGGCACTATTAGAACTCACCTCCCTAATGTCTTCAACTGAATGTGACCTCAATGGAACTTTTGCAAAAGTTGTCATATTCAACTTTAGTAAGTCACGAACTCGAACATACCCATCATTTCGTATATTTAAATTAAGCTCAGAAGCCATATGGCGCAAAATACGTGTCCTGAAATTGTTGAGTGAAATCAGGTTACAGTTGACAGTTTTCATGTTTGCCTAATTTGATAAAATCAGATCAACCATAATAAGATCAAAGATTGATTGGCAGAAAGTACAAAGTATACGAGAGATCATTTAGGAAATTACAGTTGGGGACAAAAGTAGGATATCCCTTGTGTCTAAATCTAGATTGTGACTTCCCTTTATTTAAAGAAGCTTGAAACACTAACCAAATAGCAAAAAAACATCATCTAACATCATCCCTTGATCACCATATGCACAGATCAACAGTAACTTTTGTAGGTAGGCATGAACCATTTCCATCCCAATTCCATCTCAAAACAAAGCAGAGATTGCTCTTAGAATTACACGTTTTTTGGGAAAGGAATTACTGGATCAGATAAGTCCCTTCAATAAGATTGTCATTCAAAATTTCCTTCTCCAAACTTCAATCCGATAAACTAATAATAAAGCAGGACAAAGAGAATATTACAGGAGACGGCCGAGAGCATCGATCCGATCACTGGCACCATCAGCTCCTCTTCCCCTTCCGCCGGAGCCTCTTCCCCTCCCTCTCCCACTGCCATCAACCAAACAAGAAGCCAAATTAAGACCACTTCCAAGGTTTTGCCCGGGGGATAGATGCGATGTGAAGAGGCGGCTACCTTGTTCTCGAGGGAGAGGAGAAAGAAGCAGCGGTTGAGAAGGGTTTGGAAGAGGAGGGAGCGCCGGGGTGGGGGTTAGCCATGCGAAAGGAACTGCGATGGGAGTTCGGGCGAAGATTGGGTAGAGAAGAGGAAGAGTAGACGAGGAGACAGCGGCTGCAGCGGAGGACGGGGAGGGAACGCCACATCGAGAAGGAAGCGGCAACGGCGAGGGCGAGAGGCTTAGCGACATGTCGAAGGGCCCGCGGTGAAGCGAAACGTGGTGTGCGGAGGGCTGCACCATCTGCTTGGGGGCCATTGTGATCTCGAGCTCCAGCCCATTGTGTTATCGGTCTGCCCTAAACCGATCGATGATCCATATATCTCAGCGTCGTTCAATAATATATATTATATTTTTATATATTAATTATATTTATTAATAAAATTGGTTAGTATAGATTGGTATATTATACATTGGTATCATACTGGCATAACTCGTTAGTAAAATGAATCAATAAGTGACGGTATCATTTTATTCATAATTAAATCAACAAGTTAAATGTTTTCATGCCTCGTATATATGTATATACATTAATATACTTGTAACATAAAAGCTAAATAACTCACATGGAAATGCTGCCAGCTTGACACAATCACACTCATATAATCTATACGTTTGGGCTAATTATATGAATAATAATGTAGTCCAAAAAATGTGGGTTTGTAATAATCAGGGAGTACAAAAATGATAGAATTGCTTAATGAAACACATATCAGCCATCAACAAATTGAGTAACTGATGCATTTGTGTATATTTATCAATACTTTCAAACCATTATAAATAATATAAGAGTGAGCAAAGCAACACAAGTTATAGATAGCCACTCAAGATGTTCACTTAACTGCCATTAATAACACAACCAAGTTTGATTCAGTGCTCGACAAAATATAGCAAACCATTCAGCAATACCAACTCATCGTTCATTCTCAGTTCTTGAGACAATTCTGTGCTCGGAAAGAAACCCTGCACCAGTCAAGAAAAGATGCAAAGCAGGAAATGTTAGTCAACAACATAGTATACAGATATGAGACGTGTAAAGGTAAATCCAAGGACATGAATCCAAGGTAATAATATGAGATTTGCACCTCAAGAACTCAGCACAAAAGAAATGAAGGTTAATTACTGCAGAACACTGAAATAGAACATATTCAAGTCACTATATTTACTCCGATGTCATTGGCGATCCAGAAAAGTTGATTGCCTTTTAGACCGTATCTCCATACATCAAAAACCTAGGTTAATGGCAAATAAAAGTGGAGGTTTGGTCTACATAGGCCAACATGAAATTTTCATACATGCTTGTGACGTATTGTGTAAATGAAACATGACTAGCAGGCTTATATTCATGAAAAAAGGTCTTCCTGGGATACCAATGTTGAGATGAAAGAATCTGGATCTACATCCAATAGACCAACCAGAAATTAGTTAGTTCTAGATGACTCCAGTCAATTATCTACTGTGTTATATTGCAAGTTGGAATTGAGTACACCTCGACAATGCTCCTCACAGGTTGGCCACACTCCTCACTTGTCCAGCGATGTTGACATCGGTTTTGCCCCTGCAAAGAGCTCTACATGAGGCACTTCAGGAAGATATTATTGGACTGGGATCTGAGGGAGACTGAAAGGGCAGCTTGTATTTAGGATTTGGTGGTCCAACTAGACTCGATCAACTAGGAGATTTGTTATACCAACTTCTATCAGGATTTTAGAACTTAAAAGCAGATTAGAAGGTTTTTGGAGTCCTAATTCAAATAATATTTTAACTGGGGATATAGAGCATGAGGATCCCTCCAACAAAAAAATATTGATAGGAGGGTATGATGGCTCTATTTGGGCATAAGCAACCTTAGTCCAGCTCAAGGATTAAAATCATGCCAAGCAGTATACCAACTAATACTACCAATATTACTTAATAAAATAATTTTTAAAAAAGTAAATAGCACTATACCAATATCGAGCTACATCTTTTAATACTAATACTATGACAGATCAATAGATACCAGTCCATATAGACTAGAACAATACAAACCTTGGTCCAGCTAACCAAGCTAAATCCAGCCCTTACAGCCGATATAGGGTCATCAATAAGGGAGACCAACATAGGGCTTCGGATGGACGTAAAGATTGGTGAGTAGCTGCAAGGCAGCAACAAGTTTCGTTAAGAAAGCTTTTGACCATACCTTCAGTATAGCACTTATAAATCCAGATCTCAAGGGATTTATATCTTGTACACATCCCTCCTGAGCCATACTATGGGATTCATAAGATTTGAATTTCTTAAAATCCTAATCCCCTTCAACAAAAATGGAGAATAACTTAGTGCATAGGGCTTTTATCAATGCTAGGCATGAAAAAGACCAATATACACAACTTTACCCTTGCAAGCAGAGAGATTATTATAGTAACTTGAACTTTGATCGCCCATGTCACAAAAGAACTGCTCAAGAAATATGCTTTTAAATAGAATCTTAAAATATACAAAATGTTAGTTTAAGATAATTTAGAAAGATACTTCATAAATAAAAAGCATTTTGGTTTATATAATTACAGACAAGAAGTTTATTCTAAAAATATTTAGAAATTTAGAATAGTTTTAGAAATAATTAAAGTTCCTTTTTAATATGTATATAGACTATAGTTCAAAAATCAAAATGCAATTAACATACATAAAATCTATAATACTTTAAATATGTAGCTTTATACATTTTCATTTAGACTCAACTTTGTAAATGTATCCCGATTTTGGTTGTTCTTATATCATATTCTTGCATCCTCAATTAGAACAATAAAACAGTCAAGTGCTAGGATCCATATCATGCTTGATCTGTTGTACTCAAATTACAGCAGCAAAGCTCCTATAAAAGAGATAATAAACATTTTTCGAGGACTCAAGTTTACGACAAAAATCAAAGTGGTTCAGCAAAACATGTGATAAGAATATTATAACCTTGTCCTAGTCCAACCAGAGTCAAAAACAATGTGAAAGACAAAATGCCGCTATGGTTTATGACAAGTGACATTCTCCAAAAAACAACAGCAATTTTATAAGAAAACGATTTCATCTCCTATGAAAACAACATTTCTTATCCTAAGTTTTGTTTTTAACCAGATCTAGGAACAAGGGTTGCCAACAAAGAAATTAAATCACAAGTTGATTCGATGGAAAAAATTAACATATCTTTTTTTATATCACAACAAACAAGAAAAACAAAATGTTCCTGTGGGTTTAAAATGCCCGAGAAATAAACATATCTTTTTTTATATGACAACAAACAAGAAAAACAATATGTTCCTATTAGTTTAAAATGCATGAAGACCAAGAGGAACAAACTTGCTGAATACATGACTTTCATTTCAAGGAAAATGCAATTTAAGCTTTTTAAGAAAAAAATGTCCATTTAACTGTCCATAATCTTAATTTTCCTACAAAACAATCAGTGAGGAATCAATTTACTTTATATAACAGTTGCTACTCACCACAATTTATATCTGATTTCCTTTAGATTCCCAGGTTAAGAGAAATCTACAAAACTAATAATTTATTGCACTAGAAAAACCTGAGCACGAGTCAAAGACTTACAACCAAGGTTCTACAAATTAGGAGGACCGATACATATCGATCTGTCATGGAGTGATACATGGATCATCCAACTTCAGGCGATCAGCATATGCTACACGGTTTACCATCCAGTTCTGTTTCTTAAGTTTTTTAATCCTAACAATACCAAATACATATCGGGAGGACCAGTACATACTGACAGATACATATCGATCTGTCATGGACTGATACATGGATCGCCAAATTTCAGACGATCCGCATATGCTACAGGGTTTAACCATCCAGTTCTGTTTTCTTAGTTTTTTTAATCCTAATCAAAACCAAATGCATCCCCTCCCTCTCTTTATCACGTGTGATTCCCCTTGTGCCATCCAACATCACCCGGTATCAGGCTGCCTGCCAACCTCGAACCATCAGGCTGGTTGAGTAGAATCAGTACTCCTCTCCTTCTGTTCTTGTCCACTACCTCCTCCCCTCCTCTTCTTCTAACTCTTCTTCTCCTTCTCCACCTCTTCTTCCTCAATCTGATACCATGGTATAAAATGTATATTATGCCGGTTCTTGTCAGGCTCATACTAATCCGACCAACGACCGCAGCAGACCTGGTATCCGAAATTGCAATCCATACATGCATCTTTTAAAAGATTTAAATTATACACAGATGACAACGATCCATTCTAGAGCGACGTATCCTCAAACAAAGATGCAACAATTAAGACATTTAAAATCGATGTGAATCAGGACACAAGCTGTGGAAAGAAAAGCGGCAAAACGGATGGATCTCACAATTGATAGACATTCCAAGGAAACAATCAGATCATAAGTGAAAAATCCAACCATAAACTCTCTTTTGTTTCTTAAGAACCGTAAGCATGCTCAAAACAGAAAACCGAATTCCGAGGAGACACATACAAACACGCAAATATATGAGTGGATTCCAACCAAAATGGACAGATCTTAGAAAATGTGAAAACAACAGAGAATATGGTACAAGCGAGATCGACCATTATACCTGAGCCAGGAATCGTAGGGTTTCCGACCTGTAAATTGATGGGATCTGACGGATCACTTGGCGACCATGCGGAGGATGAAATCCTCGTAGCGGATGGTGCCATCGGCGGCGACGTCTACCTCACGGATCCACTCGTCAAACTCGTCAGGCTCCAGCTTCTCGCCAATGCTGGTGAGGACGTGGCGGAGGTCGGCGACGGCGACGGTGCCGGTGGAGTCCTTGTCGAGGACGCGGAAAGCGTCGCGGAGCTGTCGATCGAAGGGCTCCGGGCGAAGGTGCTTCTGCATGAGGTCGAGGAAGCGGGGGAAGTCAAAAGGGGCGGTGAGGCCCTCCGAGGCGGCGATCTCCTTCAGTTGGGCCTGCGTTGGGTTACCGCCCAGGGAGCGCATCAGGATCCCCAGCTCCGACGCGGCGATCCGCCCGTCCCCGTCCGTGTCGAACAGGGTGAAGGCTTCCCGCATCGACGCCACCTGCTCATCCGTCAGCTCCTCCTTCCCCATCGCTCCTCTGTCTCTCCCACTCCCTCCTTGCCTTTCGGATTTCGCCAAACAGGAGAAGAAAGCATTTGTACACACAGACAGAAAATATTAAGGAGGGCTGATTATGTAATTTGGTTACTGATTTTGTACGGAGATTAATGGAACCTTTCTTTATTGTTTTAATATATTTTTAAAATTATTCCTTTATAAATAAATAAAAATATTATTTTTCTTCTCTTCAAGGAGCACCGGAGTAGGAGCATAAAAAAAAATGCAAGACGATAATCTCAACAAGGAAGCGTCGACGAAGCACAAGACAACAATGAGCGTAAAAGAGGGGAACGTCAACGAAACAGTGGATGATAAGAAGCATTAGTGAAACACAAGATAGTGATCACAAAAGAGGGAGCTTCGATGATGGTAGAGTATAGTAGGATGACGATCGCAAGGGTTACGAGGAGGGAAAAAAAATTGATATTAGTGGATTATAAATAATAAAAAGAATGAGTAAAATAGCTCATAAAAGGGTATTGTTCAATCATTTTTCAAAATAGGAGCGCGGAAAAAAAATATATATAAAGTTAAAAGTTTTTTTTTAGAGAATTCACCCTAATAAAAATATTATTTTATTATTTTTTAAAGAGATTATCAATGGAAAAAAGTATCTATCAACGTTTGAACCCAAAAAGAAAAACTTCAATTTATAGAATTTTAACGTCTAAATTACCATGATATATTAAGTTCCTAAAAAGGACTCTTTAATCGATTCATTGAACCTTCACTTTAAATAGACTAAATCTGAACAGATGCAATTTGATTCATATTCTATAAATCATTTTTCGCTGATCTCTCTCCCTCTCCTTATTCTCAGTATCAATCCCGGCCTCTCCCTTTTTCTTTATCTCTTCTTCTACTTTATCTTCCATCACATTTGTCTCTATCACCATTTTTATCATGTGTTCTATCTTCTACCATATTTGTTGTTCTACTTTATCTTCCATCACATTTGTCTCTATCACCATTTTTATCATGTGTTCTATCTTCTACCATATTTGTCATTCTTTCTACTTTGCTACTATCATCGATCTCATGTGTTCTAGCTTCTACCATAATAGTCTCTTCCCCTCCATTACCATATGCTATTTGCTTTCATCCTTACTTTTGTCTCTCCCATGTCGTTACCGTCACTTTCACTTTTCAGCCAGCTTTGTTCATTTATCGATATGATGATATATATAATAGACCCGTAATGATAAGAGCATAAAATTTGAGATACCCCAGTTAATTTTGAAAAATTATTTACCCTTTTATTATGTAAAATATAAAACAACGTATAAATATTATTGTAATAATTAAAATATTATATATTTCTATATATTACTCTTTATATTTATTTTTTTAATTTAAAGCATAAATAATTTTGAGAACTAAAAAAAAATATCATTTTAAAATTGATGATTTTAATTTTTAAATTAAAAAATCAAAATTAAACCAACAAGAGACAACTAATTTTTTATTTATTTATAATTAAAATTTTAAAATAAATATATTGTTAAAAATAAAAAAAGAATTTAAAATTATGAAACCAGCAGTTGGAACCAAAATCATCGGTTCGGGTTTCTAAATCATCGATTTTAGAACTGATGAGTTTAATTTTTCAAACCTAGGAACTGGAACTAAGGCGTCTGAAGTCAACTCTGTTGTGTCCAAAGTCAACTCTGTTTCGATTTGAAACCAACAAATCGTTAAGCTGGTTCGATTCTGATTTTAACTCAATTCAATTCTAATTCGCACCAAACTGTAGTCTGACCTAAATCCTTAAGGCAGCTTATTCGTCTCTATCATTTATTGCTCTCAGCAAAAAAAAACCGACATAAAAATCAAAAAAATCTATGTGGAATACATCTCTCCCAAAAAAAAAAAATTTATATGCCGGTATTACCTCAGTATGGGTGAAGACGGTTCCGACCTCCGCATATCGTCAGTCAAGTTTGATACTGTAATCCCTGACATGAGAAATAGTAACCACCTTTTAAAGCAATTTACAAAGAGGCATATATCTTGCAACTACAAAATAAAGAGATCAGCTGTTTAGGATCAAATACATAATTAACGAGTGGAGTACAATCTTTTGAATGTTACTCTACACAAAACCTAGCATCACCACAAAATCAAGGCAGTTTCATCACAAAAACTTCCGACACAAATCAATTTTCTTCTTTCGGAACACAGCCAGAGATTTATTCTCGTTTATTGCAGATGCATGGTATCTAAATGATAAAATTACTTTTTCATGGTTTGCTTGATCATTCAGTATGTTGAAAAACAAGGTTGCCAGTTCGAGGTAGTTCAAAGAAGATTATTAGGCGACACCAACTCAAACAATTGCTGGGTCCTTGTAAATTTTGAAAATACGCTCAATCTCATCTACAACTTCGGGTGGCAAGGGCCGTGGTGCTGTACTGAATGCATCGATATCCTCTTTCAGCTGATCCATGTTGGTTGAACCAATAATTGTACTGGTCATGAAGGGGCGGTCACGCACAAACCCAAGTGCGAGTTGGACAGGGCTAAGGCCATGCTTCTTGGCAAGCTCAATGTATTTTTCAGTTGCCACCTGCAATATGAAATATGGTACAGCATTGACCAAACTGAACAGTACAGTTGTGTATAGCAAATAACAAAGCTAAATAAACTGAAATAACAAGGAAAACATGGAGGCAAGGCTTAGAATCATGGAAAAGAGACAACACTATAAATTTCTCTTGCAAAATTGTTTATTACTACAATAGTACGCTAAAAAAACATTGTATTGTCGATGGGCGTACCTTTGCTAATGATCTATTATATCTCTCCATATACCCGGGAAATAAATTTAGCCTGCCACTTTTAGCAGCTTCAGAGTTGGTATCTAAATACTTACCACTGAGTGTACCACCACCCAGTGGGGAGTATGCAAGAAGCCCAATGTTGCAGTTTTTTGGATGGCATACCTCCACAAGATCAACTGGAACATAATATTAGAGGCGTATTGAGAAATTGCAGCACATAATATTAGAGGTATAAGGTTTTCAATGATCTGAACTTATTGAATTGACTAAACTTTAAGATAGACACCACGAAACTAGCTACATTGGACTAAGCTGTCATTATGCCACAAAAACTTAATTGTGGTATTATAGCAGTCAATTCACTTATGGTCTTGATAAAGTATCCCAAGCAACAATTCGAGTATTAATTTACAGTGAAATAAGCAAAAAATAAAAGTTAGAGGTCGACTAGAAAAGGTCATATAACTTTGGAAATAAAAGCATGAGTAAGGTTAATATGAAGTGGTTCGTTCTAATCACCTGCTAACAATGTGGAAGCAGAGACCTTATGGTCCCACACCAAAAATACCAGTACTGGAAAGAATGATGCCCTAATTTTGATATCTTACTTCATGTGATAAAAATTTCATAATAAGAATGGCTTAGAAGATATTAGAGACAAGGGTGGTTAACTGGTGGTAGATAATTTAATGCATGAACTGTATACAATTCAGGGAAAAAATGTTACCTAGAAAAAGATCAGTAAACCAAAGGGTTTTATCAATAAAAATACACTTTTAGTCAGAGTTCCCCAAGATTACGTGAAAAGTTTGGATCAATTGCTGCAAGATAAACAGGAAGTCCCAGAAATTGCAGTTGATATTGCATTGGTTCATCGGAGACAGCATGGTAAATGCTTTAGTGATGGTTTTGTTATCTCCTCAGTGTTCCTAGCTTTCAATTTTCCCAGTGATTCTTATCCACACCTTTACAACTTTAATCCGCTTGTTAATTTAATTCAAAAAGTGCCTTCTAGTTTCCTGTTCATCTTATTTGTTTCTTTGATTATTTTTCTTGTTGCTGCTGATCTAAAAATCCATCTTTGATAACAAGGCTGCTTCAGTCAAGTTTTAAGGACCTTGAAATTGATCTTTCATTATAAAATCAAGGAATCATGGATAAGTTAAATCCCCTGCCTACAGCTTCAAACCCTCGATGACAAAATATTGATCTCCTGTGACACCTCATCTGAGTTTTTTCATTTTCAGTCACATTCTAAGAAACCTCCATGAACAAGGATTCTCCAAGTCATGAATTATGCACCATCAAAATATCCTCGTCTGGCATCACTTTAAATGGAACCTTACAATATTATCGGTTTAGATAAGATCTATAGCCAAATACTACATGATGTAAGCTGAGAATTAGAAGGTATATTGTTTCGCAAGTTCCTAGTGGCTCATCAGGAGAATCCCTCATCATGTTTACAAAAAACTTACTTATATACCATTGTTCCCTCCTTGACTACAGCTTCTTTTGCCACAGATGACTAGATATGTGACATAACCAATAATGACTTTACAGTCACTTGGCCACACTATGACAATCTACTAGATGAAAACCTAATTATTAAAACACGTTAACACCAACCTCATCACCAGGACCAGCTTCTCAAGTGGATAGTGTCCTATCCAATCTTATCTCTATCCCTACAACCAACTCACCTAAGTTGGCGAAGAGTGTTAAATGATTCTAGTCAATTTGTCTACTGTACAGTTTGGATAATTCATAAGAAATTTTGATCAATTGGATAGATGTTCAAGGCTGTGGCAGGAACTTAATTGAATAAATTAAGTTGGAAATTTGGAGTATATACTTGGAGTCATGGTTTCTGGTTACTGGAATCTAGAACACTTGATCTTTCCATGAAGAAAATAAAGACTGCTGGTTTTCATTGCAATCAGAAGTCAGTTTAGAAATGCTGTTGAATTGGAGATAGCTCACAGATATAGCCTGGCCAAGATGATGATTGCTTAGGTAGGAGAGTTTGCTGCACATATTTCAATTATTTATTTATTTTTTGTTTACAGAGGGTAAGTTGTGAAGGCAGATCCGGGCCCAGGACCTTCGAATGATCTGCCAAAATCTTTACCAGCTAAGCTAACTAACACCTTCAATTATTTATGTTGTATTGCTAAAGATCTAGATTGTAGCTTCAGGGTACAATGCCTCCAAGGTTAATGTTTGTGTTTTATGGGGAAGTTTACTTAGTATTGCAGTCCTGTACACTTGGTGCTTCTACTTGTAGTAAAGAGCAGCTGGCTTAACTTTGCAGCCCATCAGACTATTAAAGGTTTTTTTAAGTGCTGAAGAAAGCTTTCGTCACTAGAAGTAACTTGCTAGGGTGACGGTGCAAAGTCCTTGTATAGTGGCTTGACCATCAGTAGTTATAATTTGAAAGATTCTTTAAAATGTTGATAAGAAATTGTTTGACTCACTGTGGTAAAGGTGTCCTGAGCATTAGATAATCATGATTGCAGAATGACCATTGTACTCTATGCATTTTGGTGATTATATATAATTGAACAAAAGAAAATCTCTCTTTCATTCAGAAGAATTACTACAAGTTAAACATGCAAATAACAAGAATTACCTTCAAATCGGCACCTAGCAAGCAAACTATAGCTGTTTTGAATGCTGACAATTTTCGGAAGCCCCCCAACTTTTGCAGCGTGCACAAACTCCATTACTCCATAAGAAGTTTCATTAGAAACTCCTATATAACGCACCTGGGACATGAAGGTAAACATGAGATGCCAAAAACTAGAAAATCTGGTTATGAATTAAAAATACAGTTCAATCCACACAACACAATGTTCACAATGGCATAATTAGAAGGTTTAGCTGATTAAACCTGAACTTAGATTGCAATAAAGAAGTAAAATTTGTCAGTTTAACAGTGATGAATGCTGTAAGATACATCTTCAACACAGTAAAATGCTTCCACAAGAACTCAATCACCCAAGGCATGCTGATCCATAAACTAGAATGAGCACCGACAAATACCATATTTTAGTTATGCAAATGGGTGTTCACTAGAAAAAAAAAAAATCAAATTACCTTTAAAAGCTTGTGAAGATTCTCATCCATGAAAACTAGTATTAAGCTCATGATATCTCATATAATTGATTAGAGAAAGGTGAAATGTTTGCCTGATTTGAAATGCAAGCTTGCAGACATGGATCTGGCTGTTATCATAGGATTTTATCATATTAGAAGTTCACAAAATCAATGGCTTCAACCATGTTTGATAAGTTTTCTGCATTTTGGACATTCATTGGTTGCACTCATCCTCGTATCATGTGCACACATGTTTTCTTGGGGAGGTGGGGGTGGCAGGGTGAATGTAGCTATTTTTTTACTAAGACCATAAATGCAATTTTAGCTCACAAAACATCCCCCTAATTGGTCTCGTCTTAGCAAGACTTCACCATTTATTCAGTGGTCTGAATATTACATTTGAACCTTAAGTTGTCATCATCTCAGTGTTTCAAGAACAATATATTGAGGAATGACATTGACAAAAGAATTATGATAACTGGCATTGGCAAAATTCTGAAATAGATGGTAGGACAAAGTGGAGCAAGGAAATGTTAAAAAAGTGCAGATCAATGTCAGTTACTCTCAAGGTTTGTGTTTCCGGGTATCAGACTGGTATCAGTCCATGGGTGGACCTATACGGGTCTGGTCTGTCAGCATGTACCAAGGTATGAGGAGGAGAAGAAGAGGAGAGGAGCGAGGAGGAGGAATACTGAGTTCACCAGGCAGTGGACGTCACAAGTAGTGGGCGGATGGTGGGCACTGCAAGATATATACATATATATATATATATATATATATATATATATATATATTATGACAATAGAATAACCATAGAATGCTATTTTGTCGAATCCAGTATTTATTGGTCGGTTTTTACAAACTCGAGATGCGGACCATCTCTTTTAAGATGGTCCAGTCAGTTCATTTGTCTTTTTAGGGTTCTACAGTGACCTCTCTCTCTCTCTCTCTCTGGGGGCAATACTGCTTCTTAGCTGCCCATGTACAAAAATTGTGACAGGGTGAGTAATAAGATGGAGAGAATAAAAGAGGATACGGTTCAAGCAGGGACAGGTAAAAGAGGATGGGGTTCAAGCAAGGACAGGATCTAGATGAGAAGCATATGCCAACCTGCAGACAAGAAACCTTGAACTTTTTAATTGTCATGAACACATGATGGGAGCAACAAATAGATGTTTGATAACATATCAAGCTGTGAGAAATGTGAGGTTGGAAGCACAAAATCACTCATGTAAATGATACATGGGGATGTAAAAGAAGGTGAGTCAAAAGTCTCTGGTTCTTCATTTTTGGTGATGCCAATCATGATTTAGCTTCCTGCCCTAACTCTATGCACATTAGCAATTCCATGATATACAGTAATAAATCTATATTCTATACCACATACTTGACCATTCTAGTATAAAAGTAAGACCGATCGAAGAGTTTTTAGGTTGAACCTAATGTTAGTCAGGAAATATTACCTTCCCTTCATCTATAAGCTCCTGGAAGGCCTGAAGCTGTTCAATAAATGGCACACTCGCCCTCCATTTTGTAGAATCATATGTCAACTCACCAAATAATGGTACATAGCGATCTGGCCTAAAATGTGTTACAAAAATCTCAAGCGTCAAAGCTTAAAAGCTAAATCAGTGAAAATATAAACAAAAGTATAATTATATATAGCATGCATAGGTATAATTATATAAAGCATAAATGAAACTAACAAGAGCATATTTAATCATATCCATCTTCAATTAATAACCATCGGCCAACTTATCTGAAGGTTCAAGTACTACAAAATAAAAGAAAAAACGGAAATATATTAACAGAAACAGATCTGGTGACTTCATCTTATGAAAAGCCATTTGTAATATGGGACAATGAGTAAAAGGTCCCTTCTCTAGAAGACTTCCGAGATATATTAGATCTCCCGACAAATCATAAACAAATTCACAATCCAAATTCATTAATTTTAACCATTTTCATGAAACATTTTTTTATCCCCAAAATATCGATATAAGGGGGGGCATAGGAAAAACTGAAAAAGTCCTATAGCTTATTTGCTAAGAAAGAATTGAGAGAACAAATGTTTTGAAGAATAAAATATATTCATCTTCAAAGGATCAAATTCTTTGTTGTGTTAATTTCATCATATAGTAAAGTTTTAAATAAATAAAATATTGATGTCAATTGAAAATCATTTCTCTATTAGCAAAAAATATTCAGCAGTAAAAGAATGTTAAACAAAAGAACAAGCACAAAGGTAAAAGACACTAGAAGTCAAAAAATGAAAAACATGTTTTGTTGAATAAGTCCGACTTGTAAGAGGTGAGAACGAAAAATTCTTGGCAAGTGCCGATGTCTAGTGTTCGGAGCACAAATATGATGCTACACTGTGACAGACTCGTTGAAGCTGTAACTCGTAATGTCATTTGTTGAGAGGCAGCCGACCTCTCAATAATCAAGCTAATGTAAATCATATGTTCACATCACTTAAGAAGTCAGAAGTATTCTTATATTATCATCAAAAAAATGTCAAAAGTGTTATCCAGAAGTTAAAGAAGCTTCCAAAGCTAAATTTTAACAGAACATGCATAACCTAATATAGTTTTAGTTGAAAGAAATATGCAACATTACATTAGAAGCCTATCCAGAAAAAGAATTTTATATTCAAGAAATCCAATTAGATAAACACTGAAAGTTATGGATTCCAGAAAATTGTCAAAATCACCAAATTTAGTCTGGCTGCCCAGATCAGATTAGAATGTAAATCACTGACAAAAGAAAGGCTGACCAGTGTATCTGAAGTAAATCAATGTAGTCAGTTGACAGCCGCTTAAGGCTCTTCTCCACACTCTCTCTTATGTTAGCAGAATCAACACGCAAAACTTTTGCATTTTCTCGTTGATAACTTGATCGCTCAGAGTATCCAGAAACTTTAGTAGCCAATATTACCTACAGAAAGAACAAACGTATGACTCAAAGTGCCCAATCTTTGGATTGGATGACTTTAAATATCTCAAATTATTTTCTACAAAGAAATTTGAATTTCTGGATTATTTTTCTTTTATATATATATATATATATATATATATATATATATATATATATATATATATATATATATATATATATGAAATCAAATGTCACAATTAAGTCAGGAGAAAATTTGCTACAGCATTCATATAATGACAAAAACAGGAAATCAGCAACAACTTTGTAAGCAAAAAGCTGGCAACAAATGAACCATATTTAATAGGTTTAAACAGTTTAATTGGTCTAAAACTATAAGGCCCAAAGCAAACCCAGCTCTTCTCAAGAATAACTCCATCTCCAACATTCACAAACCATCACACACCAACATCTTTCATCCATACTGATGGTTCCATCTGGTATTTATGGTCCAATGCTAGACCAAGGAATTTGGCTCAGTATCAGTTCATACCAGGTTTACGCTCACCTCGCTCTTGACAGCCACCCGCTGCTTGCACCTCCTCTTCATATCCTCCTTCTCTTTCTCCTCCCTTGTCCCCTTTTCTTGGTATTGCATATATGTACCATGTGTTGGTACACTGGCTTAGAGATGGGACCCTTACTAGTCCAGATACTCAAAATGACAAACCTTGATCAATATTATCCTCTCCATTGTTCCTTTTATCTCCTTTTTCTGCTTAATCTTTGTCTCTACTCCTCCTTATTCTCCTCTCGTATCTCTACTATCTCCCCAATCTTCTCTTGGAGGCTAAAGGGCTTATATCACCAAAACAATGAAAAGGTATATTAAGAAAATTCTTTCAATAAACCAAAATTTAAATTTTAAGAAAAAAAAGTGTATATACCAGATACCTTATCACGAGGTTTAGACTTCATCCAGCTACCTATATAAAGATCCGTCCTTCCTTGTGTCTCCTTTCTTGGTGGCACTGGATACTACACAATGGTAAAAGTAGAAAATTTAATCTTACTAATCTGCCATTAATATGATAATTAACTGAAAATGTCACACAAAATCCTAGAGTGAAATAACAAAATACAATGTGGCTTATGATCAGAGATCTTATTCAAGTACTGACCTGCTACATGCTACCCATACTGCAGTCTATTTATCAATGTGTGATGCAGAAATAAAAAAAAAATTAAACAAACCACATAAGTTTCACAAGTTTTGGCTGACGTCAACAAAAACCTGACTGAACTCAACTGAGATCAGTTGAAACACACTAAAAAGAATATGACACTAAGGCTTCAATCTATCACTCTCCCATGTTATTACTAAACTTCCACCTTCGACCCATGACCACCACACACCAATTCCTTCCAGGCTGAGAGAAACGGTGACAATTCCTCCACAACAACAACAAGAACACAACATATGCATATAAAAATTGTTATTATTAGGTCAATTTTATCAGTTTCCTCCCTCCCTCCCTCCTCTCCTTTTTTCCTCTTTTCCCAAACCAGTATCAATGGTACACCTGAGCACACCACTAATAAAATGGCAACACTTAATCTTATTAATCTTGATGAGCTTGTTATGGTTATTTTGATAGAGACTAATTGTCTCCTGCATGACTTGAGTAAGAATTACTGGAAGATACTGATAGTTTAAATTACTAATAACCAACCACAGAGATGGATGGGAGTGCAATTTACATCAAGTTACTTCATAAATTGCCACTAGGTCAACACGGACCTAGCTTAACCTTTTAAGCAACCCAACTTCCTTGCACATCAAGATATGATCATATAACTGCTCCTTCACTTATAAAATTGTAATCTACGCAAATCAAATCAAATATCAACATTAAACTTTTTACATTCACAGCACATCAACTCAATATGTTGTTTGCAGATTAAGATTATATCATATGGCCTTCTACTCATTGGTGATTTGCTAATAACCAAATCTAACTTTAAACTTGACCTACTCAGTTCTGCAACCTATCATGGCATCAAGCTCATCATTTTAGCATAAAAAACATTACAGTAAATTTAGTATCTAAAAACAATATAAATGGAATAATGTTCACTGCCAAGATGGTGGTAAGTCATGCAAAGAGACTTGGTTCATGAGAACCAATATCAATATTTTCCCTGCTTTATTCCTAGCACTAGATCAGAGAACAAGAAAGATATGATGGGTATGCAGTTGTTGTTAAAACAAAGGTGATGTGTGAAAAAGAAACGCAAGTAGCTAAAGTGCTTATTCTTGATTTTCATCCAGATAGGATCACTAAGGCATCAGGTTCACAAGTCAAAAGTTGGGCACTATTTTTTCCATGTTTGAATAAGAATTTATGTTTCTTCAGCTTCCTTTCTGTGATGATAAGTCAAAACTCGTTCTTCTGTTAATGAAAAAGGATCATTGCAAGCTACAGCATTAATAAAGTGTTTATCGTCACAAGTTACACATGAAAGAACCATTACTTTTATCTTTGTAAAAAGATAACATTGATCATGGCACTATAGCAGTGACACCCTTAATCAAATTCTCCAGAGGATGAAGCAGAATTTATCAAACATCATTATTCTCTTCCACAAAATTTTAGACCTCAATTCTAAAGAATAGTTACTAGCAACAAAGACCTACACATAATCAATCTGCTGATAGAAATATTCACTGCAAATGTTTAAAGTGATTGCAAAGAAAATAATAGACCATCTCCGCCGTATCCAAGGCATTGATGCCATGCAAGAATGCATAACTGAGCTGATCGTGGGCCTCCTTCTCTGTATTCTGCTCCCCAAATGTCATCTAAGACAGCAACAACATGAGACAAACGATATATTAAGTAGCATATCTTTATGCCAATCTGACCATGATGTTGAAATTTTCAACAGGAAAAGAAATATATAAAGGAGAATCAATTCGGACTTAATTAAATTCCGTTCGGTTTGGCGCTCAAAACTAAATCACATTACGGAAGAAGAATCAATTCGGACTTTCAAATGGCCGTACACATATTAAGATCGACACGAAAACTCCGATCGGGGTTCAAATTGAACGGGCGAACACAAAACACTACACATTTTGGAAGGGCAAAGGGCACAACAATATAACAGCGGTAAGAGCAAAATACGGTTCCCAGCGTGATTTCGCTAATGTGAAGATCGGAATCGCCGAGCTTCCGGTACTGCAAAGGGTTCTCTCCTCCGCCGCTTAGCTTCGCCCTGATGCTGAAGGGCCAAGCTCTCCTCCTCTGCCTCCTCACACCAGCACTAACATCCGTCGAAGGAAGAAGAGCACAGCACGATGCCTCGGAGAGATGGTTGGATTTCGGCGCCGATGACCGTAAGGTTGTGGTCATGGCGTTGGCGGCGGAAGCCAACGTCACCATCGTTATTCCTCAGCGGGAGAGGCAACGCCTTATCGTTCCGCCCGATTGCGAGGCTAAGCACAGAACAGCAGAGAATGTTCGATGGTGTACGTGCACGAGCTTGCCACGTGCCATGTACATTTTTATGGCATTCAAATTTCGCTTAAGCGGACTTGAGAGCGCCCGACGGTGGTTAGGCCCAGCCACGAGCGAAAGACCACAACGAATGGACTCCGAGCACGTGTCGGATAGCTTGTCTTAGGGGGGAATATATATATATATATAGTTAAATCACTTAATTATTCCTTCAATTTATTTATGGCGGTCCCTAAAACACTTCTATAACTTCATTACGTAGGGTTTATCAGAGGGTGACATGTTAGGATGGTTTGCATGTATACATATTAACTTGAATTTAGCCATATGAATTGGAAAATAGAAGTTAATATTTCACGGTGATTGGTTTGTAGAGAGAACCCACGAAATAAAGAAAAACAAAAACCAGAATACACGCACTACACAAACACAAACATCTTCCGCGTCACTGTTGCAGCCGGGAAGCGCTGCCACCGAGGCCTTGATGCTGCTGCTGCTCGGCGATGGCCGCCTCCTTCCTGTTGGGCATTGCTTCTCTGAGCATGGAGAGCACGTCCCTCATCGATGGCCGGTCCTTGGGGTTCCTGCTGGTGCAGAGCAAGGCGATGCGGAGCACCATCATCATCTCTTCCATCACATCCTTGCAGCCCGCACCGGCGGACTGGTCGAGCACCTCCCACGAGCCTCCCCCTTCTGCTCTCAGCATCTTCCCCCTCACCCAGTCCACGATGCTGTTCCCCTCCCCGTACTCTGCCTCCACCGACCTTCTCCCGCTCACCATCTCCATCAGCACCACGCCGAAGCTGTATATGTCGCTCTTCTCGTCCACCTGCAGCGTGTACGCGTACTCTGTAGACCCAAGCCAGCCAAGAAGGTTTAGCGCTTGCAATCATGGGATACCTCTGGATGCGACAAGGGTTGATTCATTACCGGGAGCAATGTAGCCGCAGGATCCGGCGATGACGGACATGGACTGGTTGGTGGTCCGTATGAGCTTTGCCACCCCGAAATCCGCCACCCGTGCCTCCATCTGCGCGTCCAGCAATATGTTGCTAGGCTTGAGGTCGCGGTGCACGATCACTGGTTTGCAGTCGTGGTGGAGGTAGCAAATGCCCTGCGCGATCCCGACCGCTATGCGGTACCGCGTCGTCCAGTCCAAGCTCATGCCGCAGCCCGCTCCTCCCTTTCCACCGCCGCTGCTGCTTCGGTCTCGGAGTAGGTCCTCCAGACTCCCGTTGGGCATGTACTCGTACAGCAGTAGCGTCGCCTCCCTGTTGGTACAGCAGCCTAGTAGCCGGACGATGTTGCGGTGCCTCACGGATCCCAGCACCTCCACCTCCGCCATCACGCCGCCTTTCCTCCTCATGAGCCTCCCTGCCTCCTTCTGCGGCCCCCAGAGCTTCTTTACTGCTATGACCTCTCCGCTAGGCATCTTTGCGCGGTGCACAATCCCCGTCGATCCCATCCCGATGATCTGGTCGCTTGACGACACACAGGCTGCAACATCCTCCGCCGTGAAGTTTAGACGCTGGAATGCCGTCATCCGCCACTGCCCGGGTCCCAGCTCCTCGTCGATCTCCTCCTCCCTTTGCTGAGTCCACCGAGTTCCGAGTATCAGAACGACCAGCCCTGCTGCCACCGCTGCAGCAGCGATCCATACGATCGCCGCGCCTGCCGATCCCCGAGCGGTTTGCTGCGGGGCAGCCGTGCCTTCGACCTCACACGGCTTTCCCACCAGCTCGCCGCAGAGACCAACGTTTCCAGCGAATGCCGACGGGTGGAGGTTCCCGAGAACGGCACTGGCGGAAGGGACGGCACCGACGAGACGGTTAAAGGAAACGTTGAAGCTCTCCAGGGTGCTACAATTGTCGAACACCGGCGGAATGGTACCGGCAAGTGAGTTCCAAGAGAGATCGATGTCGGCTATCGATGGGAGCTGCGCCAGCTCCAGTGGAATGCATCCTGTAAGTCTGTTTCGGTCCAGTTTCAGATTTAGGAGCTTCTGACAGTGGCCTATGTCGGCGGGGATGCTCCCATTGAGCTCATTACCCTCCAGCTCGATCTTGTAGAGGTTCCGACAGCCGGAATCGAAGTCAGGTATCTCGCCGCTCAATCCACAGTAACTAGCCACGAGGATCTGAAGACTCGGCGCTCTCCAGATGGTCTTGGGCAGCGGCGTCAGGAGCGGGTTGCCTGAGACGTTCAAGTACTCCAGTCGGGGGGCGTGTCCCAGGTCTTCTGGTATGCCTCCCGAGAGGCTGTTGCTGCTGAGGTCCATGTAGGTCAGGTTAAGCAATGAGCCAAAGCCCGTGGGTATGGGGCCGACGAGGCGGTTCCCCTCGATGCGCATGCGCCACAGGGACGTGCAATTAGCGAGTGATGGCGGAATCACCGAGTCGAAGAAGTTCGAAAAGAGGATGAGCCTGTCGAGCCGGTTCCCGTAGCAGAGACCTGGCGGGATCGGACCGGTGAGCGAGTTGGAAGACACATCCAGCTTCTCCAGCCTACCATGCACGCCAAGTTCCCTCGGGAGCTCGCCGGTGAGCGAGTTGTTCCACAGAAGGAGCGCTTGTAGATTCGGAAGCGTCCCGATTCCGGCGGGAATCTCGCCCGAGAGCTGGTTGTTCATGAGGCTGAGCAAAGTGAGGTCGAGTAGACTCGACAAGCCCGACGGAATTTGGCCGCAGAGAAGATTATCGGAGAGGTCGAGCACCTTGAGAGCTCTCAGATCGGACAAACTCGCCGGAATTCTTCCGGAAATCCTGTTCTTGAAGAGGAAAAACGACTCGAGCTGGGTGAGGTTGCCGACTTCAGACGGCAACTCGCCGGAGACGTTGGCCGACGAGATGTCAAGGTAACGAAGATTCGTCAACCTCCCGAACTCGGGCGGGACGCCGCCTTGGTACGAATTATACCCAATCTCCATGTGCTCGAGCAGTGTCAGCGAACCGAGCTGGTGCGGCAGCCTCCCGGTTAGGAGGTTACCAGCGAGGTGAAGATAACGAAGCCGCGGCAAGCTGCCGAGCCCAAGAGGAATGCCGCCTTCGAAGAAGCTCCCACCTAGGTTGAGATGCTCGAGCTGGCGGAGCTTCGTGATGCCGCGCGGCACCGGGCCTACGAAGCTGTTGCTGTAGGCGTCGAGGAGGGAGAGAGAGCGGAGCTTGGAGACGCCCGGCGGGAAGGTGGAGTTGAAGTCGTTGTGACTGATGTCGAGGGTCCGGAGACGGGTGAGCTCGAAGAGGAACGGAGGGAGGGGTCCGCCGAAGGAGTTGCCGCTGAGGTTGAGGTGGGTAAGGGAGGAGGAGAGCAAGCGGATCTCGACGGCGATGGAGCCGGACAGGTTCTTGCGAGAGAGGTCGAGGGCGGTGATCCCACCGCTGGCGTCGCACGTGACGGCCGTCCAGAAGCACCACGGCCGTGGCTCACCGGATAGGTTGGCGGAAGGGTAGGAGGACCAGTCCCGGAGGGAGGAGAAGGGGTCGAGGAGGGAGGAGCCGAGGGAAAGGAGGGCGACGACAGGGAGCGGTTCTGCCGCGGCAGCTGCCGCGGTGGCGAGGAGGAGAAAGCAGAGGAAGGCGACGGTGAGTGTGGCGGCGGACATGGCGGGGGAGCGGAGGTGGCAGCAGCGCTAGAGGTGGTGGTGTGGATGGAGATAGGGTAGATAAAAGGAGAGGGAGGAGTGAGGTCTCTTTTTAGGAGTGGAAATGCTGCGGGGATGGGGAGCAGGGCCTGCGCCGTGGTCATCATTGGGTTAGCGCGGTGGGAGATGATCTCGTGCTCGGGTTTCATGCATGCTCAATCCCTCGTTCTTCTTCTCGTTCTTCTTCTTCTTCTTCTTCTTCCTCTACATCACCTCCTCCTACTCGTCTTCTTTTCTTTTGCAGAATGGGAATGCGCTGCTGTACACTGTCTCTTTCGCTTTTTATTTTCATGCGCCTTTGTCTCTTTTATCATATGCATCGGCGGTGTGCAATCCATTCTGCTCGCTTTTTGGTTTCGGGTGGGGCAGCCGATTCGACTGCTCGTCCAGGCTTCGACTGGAATACTGTGGGGTGGTGCAGTCTTCCTCGTAAACAAATAGAATTCGTCTGTGATGGGGTTTGACCGTGAAATAGGTCAAGAATATTTTATACGTCGGTTTAGGGAAACCTTCTCGGCGTTGTCAGTTATCACTTCCTTCGAATTCGTTATGTCAAACAATGACCCGACGACCGGAGGAGTCAACAGTCAACTTAATTTTCCATCGATATTTAGCATTGGGGGTTTGGTTTCACTGTTTCACCATTAATTTTCAGCATAGGATATTTGAAATTGATATTTCCGAGAATATCAAATTGTATTTAAAAATTAAAATATAGCATTGGTAACAAATAGAAAATAATTTTAAAATGATTATATTGCGTTGTGCCCTTAGATGTGCATTGATGTTAAAAGCGATTATGTGTATTTTTCAACCTCAATATAATCATGTTATATCGAATCTACGAGACATATGCATGCTACAATACAATTAATAATATATGGGGGACGAGGTCATATCATCGTATGTAGTTGAAGCGCTAAGGATGCATCATCGATGTATCGATCATATAGCATCGAGATGTTATGTTAACTACGTGGCTAAAGTGTCGATTAGTTGTAAACTTCAATTTTAGGTTTTGGTAAATTCAAAGTAATTTTTACTAATTTTGTATATTTTATCAAATACTAAATTAAACATTCCTTCATGTTTTGAATCGAACCCAAAAAAAGAGATAATTATGAAAAGAGATTAATAGACCAAAAACCTAAACCAACTTTGTCTGAGGAGCAATACAGAAATATCGAAAAGTGAAGCTCTCTACAACCAAAATAAAAATAAAATTAGAGACTAAAGAATATAATTACTCTTTTTTACTGATACTAAAGAATATAATTTTTTTTTGTCTCCTTCTCGGTGGAAGGATTGAGATTCTTACTTTCCTAAATTAATGGACTCAGAAGAAACTTTTACCAAACGAATAAAGAGGTAAAAAGA